CCATGTGAAGCAAGCATCGGACACTGTTTAAAAGTATCCTATCCGAGATTTTCCCGCAAAACTGAATTTTTTCTCGAGAAATAAGCCATGCTCTTCTACTGGCAATTTATTGCTCTACCAGTCCCCTTATTCGAGAACGCTGTTTTATACGAGAACGCTGTTGATATTTAAATTATTAAGTCTGACCTACATGTCTGCCTGTACATTTCAGAGGGAATAAGACAACAGATATTTAAATATTTTTATTAAAATTATTTTGTCACTTTCGGGGTCTGCAATGGATACTTAAGGTACATATTACTTTAAGGGCTCTCTATTCCCGACTATTAGAGGTCTCTATTAGGTTTTGATATTTATACAGCATTACTGAAGGGGGGCAAGACAAGCGCCCGCTATCCCCTACTGTGTCCAGACTCGACATCAGTGTCAGCAATGGTCGATGAAAATACTTTTGTAATAAAACTTATATCCCCCAGATAGCTCTTTTCCCATTGGATTATCTGTCGAGGCGAAGAGTCAAACTTCAACTGCAAATTTAACTGTCGAACTCGTCAAAACCAAATCAGTGACAGTTTTCTCTGCATTTATAAGTTTAAAAACAAACTTAAGGATTAACATACCTTTACCTTCAGTACACGTACCTGTACATGTATCAGTTATTCTTCGCGAGCGGCAACAGGTGCACGGACGCATGTTTTATCAGTTTTATGGCTACTGAACAACACATATGTTCCAAAACAGTCCATGACCTACTATCACGGTAGTCATACTATGATCAATATTCTAATGCAGATCATAACCCACTATCACGGTAGTGAGGTCATGTTGATAAATGGGGCTACGTGCTGGGAACTATCTCTTGAAAACAGTGTCACGTGATAATTTGCAAAACAGTCTTTAGATAATTTTCGGCGTCTTAAATACTACAATGTTTATTTCAACAGTTAGTTCTTAAATAAGAAAGGGCGTGTTAGCAGCTTTTTTTAATTAAAAAAATTTTAATCATCATCGAAGTCTGCAGATTTCAAAATAATGCATTTTCATGGCTGGAGCGGACATTTAAGCGGACATAAAATGTTTAAGCCGGATTGTCTGACAGTAATCTAGTGAGACTCCCCACGGATCTATCTAAATCTCTGGAAATACACCATAAGCCACTTTCGTTGATTTCAATTTAGGGAGAATCCCCTAGGAGATAGATCGATCAATAGTTAGTACAATAGTTCCTAGGAATGTTCCCTAAAACTGGATTTACAATGTAAAAGCTCGGAAGAAAGAAAATGTATCAAGTTTGATTCTTAATATAACTGAATGTTAAACACTGCATTAATTTATATGGAAAAAAATTGAAGTGTGTTGTCTTAATTTCGATTTAGACCAATTACATACTACACAGAATGTCCCCCAGACATGCACATATCCCACGTAGCAGTCTTATCGTGGAAAGCGTTTGTTTGAAAACGAAATGCAATTTTCTGTCTTTCTGTTGAAGGTAACACAATCAAGCAAATTCACTGTTTGTTTCGCTTCATGTTTTTGTATGCTACTATCTTGTGAGAAACAAAATGCAGATTCGAACCCAAACAGCCGACGAATCCCGAATGTTCTCTAAACAAATTATTCGCGCCAAGATGAACAAATACATATAACGTACGCTACGACAAATAAAAAGAGAAACCACGCGAAACAAAAATTCCGATGACTCATAGGTACAAGAAAAGCACCGTATCTATAGAAAGCTGTCAATAACACTGCAATGGACATTACAAAGGGGTCACGTGATAAAAACAGGGTTTACAATGTAAATACTTCGAAGAAAGAAAATGTATCAAGTTTGATTCTTAATAGAACTGAATGTTAAACACTGCATTAATTTATATAGAATAATTTTAAAATGTGTTTTCTTTACTTAGATTTAGACCAATTATATACTATACAGAATGTCCCCCAGACATGCACAAATAACCGCTTAAACCGGTGAACATTTCAAGAGTTGTACATCAGCTGATCCAATCTCATGCCCAACACACATTCCACAGTATACATTACTGTATGTACAGGTATGATAATACAGCATAGGACATAAGCCGTAAGCTGCGACGAGGACGGGTGCGGGGGAGGGGGGGGGAAGATATTTATAATTGATTTGTATGCACATCTGGCATTTTCCTTTCTTCCAGTCTTACCTGATGTGTCTCAATCTCGAAAAAAACATAAATAAAGCATTTTGTTAGCGTACAGTTTTAAAAGCTTCCACTGTTATATATGATACCCCCCACCCCACCCCAGTTGTGTTGTTTGTACCTTTTCATAAAGGATCAATGGCTTTTCGCGCGTTGTGTACAAAACAACATACGCGATACTGCTGCCAGCCCTTGTAAGCGGTGGTTTCCGGAACTAAAATCGTACAAGTCAATGTTTACATGTAAGCAAGACTTTTGACTACCTCATAACATTTTCCGTATCTTTCGAAATTCATTACTCGAATTTTATGAATCGGGGGTCACTGTGTATTTTTACCATTGGAAAATATATTTAAATAGGCCTGGTATAACATAAAGCATTTTCATTGAACACTTCCTTTCATTGTGTTAGTTGTGACGATTGCACATTGTTGCGTACACGTTGTTCTAAATCTGTGTCCAATGACATATATCCCTGGACAAAACGCTTACATACGGGATGTGACCACTGTCAATCAATGGAATTCTATCCTATTCGGCAGCTAGTACACTTACATGTACATGTACCACAGTCATATTCTCTACCAGGGCAACAAATTGATTTGTTGACCTCTATCAACAGATGTGCCTCTGTCTAATTCTGTGCACTTCTCGGTGCAATTTATGCATTGAAGTACAAAATCACCCATCTGACTTCTAGTAGGTTTATATAAGAGTCCCACATCCGGAGAAAATATTTCTGGACCTACCGTGTGTGTGTAATTGCTAGGAAGTGCTATGGTGTTATAAAGCTAGATTGTAGCAAGGGGGTTAAATGGGTTTTCTTGGTTATATGGGTTATGGGTTTTCAAGTTAATTGACCAAGTTAATTATGTATGGCATGTGCAGGGGTTGTCTTAGATCAAGGCACAAATGAAGCCCACCTTTGATTTAACTTTTCTTTAGTAAATGTTACTAAATCACATGTCTTTTCTTTAAACATTAAACATCTTTAAAAGTATCATTCTCTGATGTATTTTACAAATCACAGGTAATGAAATACAAGTATATCTCATTTGCCACATAATATGTGCCTTGACCTAAGATATCCCCTGCACATGCCATACAAACAAACTGGCAGCTTGGCCAATTAACTTGGTCATTTAACTTGCCCGTTCTGCTGTTAACAATACAAAGACGACCTAAAGAATAGGCCCAGCCAGGGCGTAATAAACAATGGGTCTGGGCTTTTTATGTATATGACTAGATTTGATCCGGGCCTTTGACATATATAATGTCAGCGCTGCAGTGTTGAATAGTGTGCACTACAACTGTTTTTGAGGTTACATCATGCAGTCACAACATGCATTTGATCTCAAAAAATTGTATATTTCTCATTTTGTTGTGATTTGATGAAAAGTCTATTTTAACATTTGCTTTGTGGCACATGTATATCATTTGCTGTTTTAAGGGTCTATAACTATAATTAAAGAGTCATTGAACTTCTAGAAATAAAGACGCACAGGTACAAGTGAAACTTGATATATCTGAATGCATATCACCCTTCTGTGCAATTCATTTCTATCATCAACAATAAATATGTATACAGTACATATACATGTAATATAAAGCTATATTCAGACAATCTCAGTGCTTTTGATTTAAGTTTTATAAATAATTTATTATTATTATTATTATTATTATTATTATTTTAGGAGCTGTTCCGTCTCTTAGACAACCAAACCGCTGGTATGCAAGATGGAAGAGAAGATTCAGAGACTTTGGTGACAGGAAGCATCTCTACTAACACAATGTTTGTCCTGAGTAATTTAAAAGTCAAATCTTCTTAATTATTTCTTAAAATCGTTAGTTATTATTTTTCCACAAAAGAGAACAGCAACCTTTCTATGGTCAGTCTTATGCAGTGCACCTGGAATTTGTGTAAATATTTTATGTAAGTCGTCCTGTATTTGCCAAGAATTAGCAAGTGTTTTAGGCTGTATTCCCACAGCTTTTAGATCGATCTATCCCCGCGGGGAGTCTCACTAGATTACTGTCAGATAATCCGGCTTAAATGTCCGTCCCGCCTACTACAAGCTGTAAGGGGGTAATTAACTTCCGTGTCTGCTCGGCCGGTTGACAGCTTTTTAGCGTGAACCCCCAGGGAGTTATGTCGATCTAAAGTAGATCGATCTAATCTCTGGAAATGGGGTCTTTCACTGTAAATATTCTAAAGACTCTTAAAACTTAATAAATAGTTTAACCTTTCAGGCGGTCAAAAATATACTGTAATGTTTCGATCTTTTGAATGAGGAATATCCCGTATACATTATTAAAAAATATCAAGTAAATTTCACGACAGCAATTTTTGCTTTAATTGTATCGATCAGAACTATAGGGTAGCCTGCTTTTTATTTATGCTGCAACCATTTAATAAGGAATATTCCTTATACATTATTTTTCAAAAATTAAAGTATATTTCATAAAACAATTTTTCGCTTTAATTGTATCAAACATAACTATAGGGTAACCTGCCTTTCACTCTTGCTGCAGTCATTTTATAGACGTTGTAATTATAAGAATCCATTACTTAAAATAAAACACAAGTAAAATTCGTAAATTTCCTATTGAAAAGATTGAGATATCTCGTAATCGACACAAAAATGGAATGATAGAATTTTTGGACTTCCTAATCTTAATCTCTTTTTATTGAAGTCCACGAGAGGATTATCAAAGACCCTCTTAATGTGACTGTGTGGAGATAAGATGATGACAGGAAGGAGATGGAGGTGAAGAGTTAGCAGTGGATTAAGTCATAAATAAAGTGGATTTAATGCAGAGTTGAAAGTGCAAGATGTGAAATGCTTGCTGAAATTGGAACTGAAAATGAAAAAAAATTAAAGACCAGAAGGATCTAGGAAGTAAGACAGCTGAGTTATTTTAGATTATTTCTTCTATAACAAAGAAGAATGTAATCTGTTTTTTAGATTAAATTATCATTTTCACTCATTGCATATCTATATCAAGCAGTCAAGGGAAGTGTCACATACTGTGAATAATCATGTTATAAATATCACCTTTCCCATTGTCTAATTGGATCCCCCTGACACGTGAACCAATACTGACATTTGATTAGAATATTGTGTCCACGTGGTAAAAGCTGTAATCCGAATCATCTGCAGGCAGATGCTAAGAACCCCAACCAAAGACTATTGTAAAGATAGATTTCCTTGCTTATGCTTGTGCATCATTCTTAAACATGTATTATAAGCCCGTCCTACGTAAGGTGCAATAGAAGTTAACTACCAAAGAAAATTAACACGACAATCAATAATATTTTATTTAGATTCCCTTTTTTATGCAACTTCGGAAAATAAAGTTAATATCAGCACTAACCAACATTTGTGTCTGATATTGATACATATTGAACAACTTGATATAATTTTTTACGGGGGTGAAAAAAAACGATGCAATAAAGTTCAGAATACAAAGTCATTTAGAATTTGTTTTTTTGTTTCATTTCTTTAAGTTGCATTGCAAATCAAATGAAAGTCTATCATACAGAGGGGGCAAAATATGGAAAATAGTAATTCCTAAATAGCGAATATCAATTGTTTAGTGTTTATATAATAGAAAATGTGTCCTAACTGCAATCGCTTAAAGCTTTACGATCTTAAAAAAGCCATATCCAAACATCTGTTTACATAGAAGGTGCTTTTGAAACAAGCAATTGATTGATACTCCTCAATAAAAATATAGTCCACAACATAAAGTGTATTAAATGAAAACCCATAATGATTCTGAAAATTATTTAAAAGCTATTTTTATATTTCCTCATTCTGATTTAAGTTTTGATAAACACATATATGAAAAGATGTACATGTATATTATATGTCAGTCATGTAATTTAACCAGAGGATAACTGTCCATAGACTTGGTAATCTTGGAATGGTAATGGAGGTTGTCAAGCAAACACATATAATATGTTCTCTGATACCACTTACTAAAAGGTAAAAGAAGAAAATTATCTTTAATGAGACAATATTTTAATAATTTTATTAGCAGTGAATACATAAGCAACCCATTCAGGGAATTACTGTATGGTGATGAATTTTAATAATGATATTACCAATACTAAAAAGTACTAATCAGATTATTATTTGTAGCCAGTCCTCCAAAAGGGATTTACTTTGTTACAAAACTATTCACAAATATATTCACTTAAGCAACAAAATGAATGTGGAATCTAAATTATTTTGAATGACAACATAAAGAGTTAAAAAAGTAGTAGACATAGTTACCTTGATCATCTCCGCACAATGCCAAAAACAATGTCCGTGCATGCAGTGGGACCAAAATAATATTGATACAGTGGTCAACATCATCTTCAGCCTGAAAAAAAAAGATATCCCAAATGCCAAGACTTGCCTGTCATTGCAAGGGGAATAATTTATTACTTATTAATTAAAATAAATTATCTACCCATTTATATGATTTTAATTGATGGTCAGGAATCTATACAAGTACCTCTGTTTTTATTGGGGGTTGAGGGTGGAGGTGTACGCAAAAGAAAATACTACAGATATTGTGAATGAACCGTTATTATACTGATGCCTTGATTCTACCATAATAATCCTGATATCCAGAGTCTCTACCGTAAAAGAGATGTTCTTGTGCGGGTTATGAATATTACTGCTATATACCAGTATTTCTTCACTCGAAAGAAACAAAGATTCCACTTCAGTGAAAGTGTTCTTACCACACCAAGGAGAGCTCCCGGGTCATCATATCATATATCACATCTAATCATAACGTCTGGACAGGTACCATCAGAGTTTGGACCAGAAAATATGAAGCAAGGTACCAACGTGGTCCTAAAAGAAATAATATTTCATATATTTGATAACAGAACTGTAAAACAAGAGGAACTTATAATTGTGAACTTAGAACAGAATGCCATTCCACTAACTGAGTAGTATTACTGCTGGGTGTCAAAAACTTGCATGGTTGAAATTGTTATTTTCAGATTAAAATCTCCTGGTTGCTTTGTTATATCATATCCTGCAGATGGATAAACTGAATGTACATTTAACACACACACACACACACACACACACACACACACACACATATATATATATATATATCCAAGCAGGTTTTACACATGAACGGCCTTACCTGCACGTCGGTTACCCGAATGAAGTATCCCATTGCCATTCAAACACCCGCAGTGGTGGGTGCCCTGTACATGCAAAATGTCCTGTCTGAAAATTGTAGCAGAGCAGCACATCCCAAACATTCTACAATCTTTAGACGGTGTGCACCTTTGGTTTTGTCAATCGTAACCAGTCCTATATTTGACTATAGAATTATATCTGTATGTTTTGCCTCGGCTTTGGATCCCATTTAACATAACATCTATGTCTATATTGATAAAATACACTGGGGTAGCGCTAACACTTGTCAATTTAGCCAAATGCTAAAACTTCCTTAAATTGACTAAAGCAAAAGGGCTTGATTTGACTTGTTTTAGTCAAAGTAAAACCATTTTGATAACAAATTGACAAAAAATGGTGATTTGGCTGAGCAAAAAATTGCTAGCTCTACTACCCCAGATACATATATCATTTCAGAATATACTAGTACTTGTATAACGTCATACTGTATGTACAAGTCAGCCTCTCTCTTCTATTTATCTCTGTTAGTTTGTCTCTTGGATTAAAGTATCAAGGAAACATAGCTCTATTTCATTAACTATTGTTAAGTTTAAACATGGCTTTTCAAGACCAATCTGAAAACTATTTATACAATTATTAAACCATTTCTATCAACGTTTTTTTCTTTTTAACCTGATATCAATATCAAATCATAATTACCGGGTAATGTCATTGCAATACCAGTAAATACACAGGTGCACAATGTCAATGGTCAAGTACCTGTAGGACCCGTGAAAATCTTTCCTGAACCGATTCCCACTCCAGTTGATTCACAACAATGTAACCGATGGTCTTTTACAAAAAAATATTCATTTTTGATACATGTAGTAACTACTAAAAACATATTACTTAAACAGTCTGGTGTTGATCAAGTCAAGTTCTCAGTCCATATCCATCCACTCACTCGGAGTCATTGTCCTGTTCTCTGCTCCGAAGAGGTGGGTGGACTATAGAATATCCACTAACGGTACATGTATGTGATAAATATACAATATTATAGCTGCTGTCCACGTAGGTGGATGCATATGTTACAGTGAAATAAACATATACATGTACAATGATACATATATCTGGTATAGCGACTGCTTCTGATGCTTTCCTTCACAGTAAAGAAATGTACTAAGCATCATCTTGATTTCCCTCACACCTGGGCGTCCGTTGAATTGAATAAATACCTTTTCGTGAAAATGCTATTTTCTCTATCAAAATTAGTGTACCACTAATTATACATGTCTATGCACATATACATAAACATACACATATTTAAAGTGACTGATAGTAAAAGGACCAAAGTCATAGAAACAAAGCCCTGGGCTTATAAGTTTTTATAAAAAATTAAAACAAACTTCCCAAAAGGCCAATTAAAGACAGGGATTAAGTACGGTGTTCAACGGATGACGCTCTGGCGCCAGTTTGAGGGGCAAAATGCCGTTTTCGGTATTGGGATTTTCTCTATAACCAAGACAGCTTTTCAAGTGATTCAAAAGGCCTCATAAAGCTGGGTGAGAGCACTACAGCGGGGTACCAGGGATTGTCTTAAACTATTTACTTTTAATTTTATCATCTTTTACGTTAAATCAGCCCATATTTCAATGGGTTATTCACTTCAAAAGGAGATAACTTTCAAAAAAACAATTTCCTCTTAAACCCCTGATATCATGCTGTAGTCCACATTCCTAACAACAATAGGTGCAACTTTTGTAAAGATCGGTTGCTCAGATAGTGAGATATACTTGGCAGCTATTCACTTATCTCGTCAATATAGCCAAAAACGTTCACAGGTTGGTTAACAGGGCTTATTAGTCAAATGCTTAGCTGGCAAATTTACCTGTTATCGGTTATACGATCAGATGGAACCATTGCTTATTGTCATCTAAAAATATTTTGTTTGGGTGCTTTGAAGGGGCAGAAAATCGTGCTTTTGTTACATTTTCCGACCACTCGTTAGGCATGTAAGCGTGCCGCCATTTTGATTGCCTAGTGACGCCCCGTAGGGTGTCAAGGATATGTAGAAGGAAGCGCTAACAAAGGCGATCACGTTTAACCGCAATTAAGAGGTGTGAAGTTGCATTTGAACGTTTCAATGGCTCTTCCTCGGCAATCGAGTAATCTTACATGAGAGATTCCTTCTTTGTTATCGGCAAAGTGATCAGATAAAACTGTGTCGAGAGCAAGTGTCCGCCACTTGTGTTAATACGAGTTTTTTGACGGGTAACGCTGCAGGATTATTTTGCACGACACTTGGTAATCGTCAGATCAACGGAAAAATCCAGTGATTACTTCATAGCGGTATTTCTCAAATTCCCAGCTAAGATTAAGGGGAGACGCTCAGCTGCACAAGAATCAGCGATAAAAGTGGCTGAGAGAAGGCTTTTGAATAAATATTTTATTTTTACACACATGACACTTAGACCCTATTTGCTTTTTACCTGCTAGTCTTGACTATTCTCGGGGTCTTTTTGTGATTTTCATTTTTGGATACATTTTGAACTCTTTCTTCCCGCTTGATCAGTGATTTTGGAATTGTTTTTCTCCAAACATCGCAAAATGCAAAGCCGCTAACATGCGTTTTAATTTTTATTGTTTTAATCATGCTGTCAACCCTTGCTTGGATTTCTCTCCTTTGGCCATTCACATCACAATTTTTCGCGTGTCTCTCAAGCTCCATGATACCATATCTTGGAGAATAAAATTTTATTTTGTCAACATTAGATTTACCTTTTGCATACGGCGACCAACAATCATTTCCGGTTTCGTAACGTGTCGCAGATACGCTCGCCGATATATATTGCAAAAATTAGCAGGCTAAAAGTATCATTTTTAGCGTTTTTTTTTTGTTTATCGATTTTTCTTTCATTTGTCAATTTAAAATTTAGACGATTCGATTAACTCTTTTGCCCAATTATCAGGTATTCAGAAATCAGTCATCCGTCTGAACAAATAGGACCGGTTTTCCCCAACCGCCACGCATAGGCCCTACTCTCTTTCAAAATTTTCTTTCTTTCCTCAGGAAATGGACTTTTAACACGAACTTTTCTCTTCCCTATAGTGTACTAGCTAGACTTCTTCGCTGCTAAGCTGATGTAAGACTTATGACCTATTACCGCACACGTAATCGGCTTATAACTCATTAACTGTGCTCCGACCCCCTCATGGCAACGGCCCTTAGTAACAGTGGCGTGGCTTAGTTGTCAGCTTGACTGGGGCGCGTGCCGGTTGAAAAACTCATCAAAAGACACATTTTGCTATGCAAATTCATAAAAATTATTACATCCAACGTTAGATACTTTTTTTTGATTAATATAAACACACAAAAAACTCAAAAACATGATTTTAAGCGTATTAAACCCTATCACCGGCCTTAAATACGTATATTAAAACGCATTTTTAGGGTTCACACGTTTTGGACTCATAGAATGTGACAGATAACATATTTTGCTCACTAAACGATGTAGTATACGGCCATATACCACTGTGTGTCTTCTTCTACTGTAGACTGTTTGTCACTTCTAATACAAAATATTCATCTTTGGGATGTCATATCCTCTTAGTTTATTTACACACTTTTTCAATTCTCCTTTTCCAATGCAGGCAATTTCCTTTTTGGGGGGTGGGGGCTGGGTTAAATATATATATATATATATATATATATATATATATATATATATATATATATATATATATAGTGTCTGAGCAACTACAATTAAGTATGTTACGTATGGTGAAGGAAACATCACCCATCGGTATATTGGACGTGGAATGTGCACTGGGCGCCGGTTTATTCCGTTAATCTAGAACAACTCGTATACACTGGCGCTATTAATATAAATTGAGTCTAATTTCACACTCTGCCTTGCGTTCTTGTTTGAAAGTCAATATTATGTCCCCTTCCAGTTCCCTATCTTCACATCACACAAACAATAACATGAAGTACACGGTTCATCACTTGGTATACTTCTGTAACATTATCTACAGGAAAAAAAACAACGTTCTTACGATGATAGTCATGGGCGTCGTATCACCACATGTGCGCTGTGCCTAGAATGCTAATCAAGATCAAAATCATCCATCTCTCTTTTGCCTCCTGATGGATTGCCTGGATTTGACTCGAAGTCAAGGTCTTCCAACTGTCTTTGTGCAGCTCGTAGAGAGGTTTCATTTTCAGATCCCTCTAAAGCGGCTCGTGCCATTTTCTGCTCCTCTAATTTCACAGCTACCAATCTTTCAGTCATGGCGGTGGCTTCCATCTTCATATCTGCACTCTCCGAGGGTTTCCCGTCGAGGTCCAAGAGATCAGCAACAGCTTCAAGGCTGCGCAAGGTGTCTTCGTGGTCCCGAAGTACAGAGTGACGTATGTCCAGAGCTCGTTGGTGCATCTCAAGGCCCTCCTTAAAGTTGCCTATAAGCTTCATTTCCTGGCCCAGGTAGAACATCGTATTAGCTGTGATAGCGCTATCACCCAACACGTGTTCACCTATACGGAGAGCTCTTTGGAATGTACTGAGGGCATCTTTATGCTTTCCCTGTGCTGACAAGGCACAACCCAGCAAACTGATCGTAGCTGCTGTCATCTTGTGGTTTTCTCCCATCATCTCTTCCCACATAGCCACAGATTTCCTGAGGACATCGACTGCACTGTCTGCATTGCCCAGATTTATCATTTCCTGGCCAATTCTGAGGAGGGTATAGGCTGTTTCCGGACATTCGCCAGACACTTTTTCAAATATACGTAGAGCTCTTTGGAATGTAGTGAGGGCATCTGCATGTTTTCCCTGTGCTGACAAGGCACAACCCAGCCTATGAATTGAGTTTGCAGTCATCTTGTGGTTTTCTCCCAGGATATTTTCCAAAATAGCCACTTCTGTCCTGATGGCATCGACTGCACCGTCTGCATTGTCCAGCTTTATTATTTCCTGCTCTATTTTGGTTCCCTGATCTATTAAGTTTAAGTTTCCACTTTTTTCCATAGGGAACGAAAATTGTGCCATATCGACAAGGAAGTTTTGCATACCTTCCCCGATAAAATTGTCAAATTCTCCAACCATTATCTCAGTCGGTGCATGTCGGGTGCCACTATGCATGCAGTTCTCAAATGATTCATGTAAACTATGTGAGTGTATAGAATTGTTAAACAACGGTCCCAGAACAGAATTAATATCTTGCGGCATTTCTTCAGACTTGGTCGCGTTTTTTAACATTGTAAAAAGAAATCTTGAAAAATCACCAGGAGCTTTCGCATTATGGTTCTCGAGCAACATGCATGCTTCTGAAATTTTATGTTCCAAAACATATGTTGACCAAAGATTAAAGATACTGTGAAAATATTGTTCATGACTGCATTTATCTGGTAGGGAGTCGTATATCTCAATTGCTTTCGTCAGGTTTTCAATGGCAGCTGGTATCTCTCTGATGCGCATATGCAAAAGGCCGATGGTACTGTATATAAAAGCACTTTCAGCAATGTTTGCAATTCCCCCAACTTCAAGGACGGTTGCTAACAGGGTTTTATAGACGCGAAATGCATGGTGGTACCTGTGTAGGGCAGAGAGACGCACTGCAAACTCCTTCATTTTGCCGTAGAGATTTTGCCTTGACGAAAGTGATAGGATACTGAAAATGTCAATACATTTAGCAAACCTATCTCTTTCTCTTTCAAAATAAGACACTCCTTCACGGTGATCCTTTCTGTTCAGATCGCTTAAACTAGGTTCCATGAAATTTAAAAAATGAATATTGAATCGCTCCTTGTTTTCTGCTGACATTTCATATTGAGCAAAGGCCTGAATTATGCTGTGCATGTCATATTCTTGTCTTTTCTTGTCATACGCAAGCATCGAGGTGTTACACAGAGTCCGGAGTACTTTTTGAGTCTCTAGTGATGTGATATCTTGGAATTCATTGCTTATCAAGGCAAAGGCCTCTTCAGCGGTAAATTTTGACGGGAAGACTGACAGAAGTTGACATGCCATCTGTTCCTTAGGGCTCAGTCGTTTATATGTAAGGTTGATGCAAGCGTAAACATCTTGCAGTTCCGGTCCTAAACCAAATAGTTTTTTGTAAAATTCTACGCTACATGCAAGCTCTTTTACCAAATCGGTGGCCTTCATTCCTTGTTTAAGCAGATACCCCAAAATATGGAGTAACAACGCCATGAATCCGCATTTCGTACCTAGAATGTTCCCTTCTTCACGGTCCAGGGTAGGGGAATACCAGCGGAGAATGGACAAGGATGCTGACTGTGACAGGGAGTCGAGTTGGTGGACATGAACCTTCATGTTGGGTAAATGAATCGTGTCGCGTGACGTGCATAATACATATGCATTTTTGCAGTTTGTGTTTAACTTGTTTAACAAACCATGGAAATAATCAAGTGTGTCTTTTCTCACGGTGGTCTCACAATTGTCTAGAATTATCAATATCTTTTGCCCAAACTGTGCTATTTCCTTGCAAGCTCTTGTGAGAAGTTTCTCTGGGTCAGAGTGTTCTGAATCTAGACCCGTATCCAATTTTAAAGCTAATAACAAGGACGTAACAATATCTAACTCGGTGGAAACATTTTTCAGGTCCGCCATAACGGAGCGGATTCCAAATCTTGAGACAAATTTGTGACCAACAACCGTAGCAAGGGCGGTCTTCCCTTGCCCACCAGACCCTTGGATGATGGCTAGCCGACCGCCGTTAAGGAAAAGCTGCGTTATCTTCTCAACCTCATCAGAGCGTCCTTCAAAGCATACAGGGGGTTGGGGGAGAGAACACTGATCTAGGACAGACGCTGAAAGAGGCCATGCATGTAAATGGAATGGGAGTTAAAACAATGAGCAATGAGAAAGACACAGAGTGGTTGAGCAAACTGTCATTTCATGGTTACGGCTACATGATTTTCTAAAGCAGTTTTAATTTTTATGCCATTAACAAACATTCGATTTTCATCACAGAGGGCAAGCAAGCAATGGAAACTACTACTATGCAAAAAAATAAGCATTATAAGAATTATTTCAAAAACTTTTATTGAAAGATAAAACTACTTGAAACTGAATAACAGTCAGTTTTTTGTTTACCTATGACTTATTTTCTCTGCATGTAAATTGCGGTTTCATATACCACGTTTATTTTTTTCTCAATGAATGTCCTTTTCAACAATCAAAAGTTGTAAAACGTTCACCCTACCAGATGTTAATTCCAGCCGAAGCCACTACATCTACAAGTTTTCTTCTACTAACCTGTAAACGTCTCTGTGTCTTCTCCAGTTACAACAGTTCCCGACAGTCCATCTGACAACCAACTATAGTCCTCTTGCAAACATGCTTGGAAACACTCGAAGTATTGATTGTCCTTGGTTAATAAAAGAGTAAGGAGCTTCTGAGTCTGCTCAAGTTGAGTTCTTTCTTTTAATATATCATTCAGTTCCTTTTGGGTCAGAATACCTCTGGTGACTAGCTTGTGGGAAACGTGCTTGACAACTAAGTCCGTACAAATGGCTTCCCAGTTTTTCTGAAGCTTGATCCGATTTTCTAAAGTTATTGGAAAAGCCATGGTCGAGGCTAAACTGCAAAATGAGTGAGTGCTATGTTAAAGTAAAATCTCCAACTGTTGGTGAGATACAGGAAGCAAAGTAGATGGGATGATTATAAGAAACATACTGTCGTGTTCAGTGTAGATGAATCTTAGAGTGGGTCTTTCAATTTGAAATAGGGCAAGTGTCACTATTATAAGAGCAGTTCCCATTCAAGTCGTTTTGATCAGGTAACTTTATTTTAAAGATGTACAACCTTACAGTCAATCTGTCGAATATAGCAATAACAACATGAAATATACATTGAAATAGCGGATATAACCTAACATGCTGATAAATGTAAATTAATCATAATTGCATAGATAAGATGTGCGTGAAGATCTGAATTCAGAACGAATACTGTGTACATCCTTCCCTCACTGTCGCATAGATATTGTAATAACTGTCAACAATTGTACCCACTTGGAATTCTGACACTGATACAGACATTATCGAGTTCAGAAACAACCAAATAATTTCCCATTGACGGCCATACTAAAAGAAGCCTGAAAACTGCAATATGATTTGGAGAAACATTTTTTATCCCCATGGACAGCAGGCACACTGACATAACACCCAATGGCACAAACATATATTGTTGAAAAGCTACTTTACTTACCGCCAGTACTTGAACACGTGCAGCCCTCTTGTTTATAAACAAACCCCTGCACCGTTCACAGTCAGTAGCTCCCTCCGCCAGAGGTGCCACACTGCACGACTCCTATGCCTGTTCCTGAAGAAAAAGTGACAGTAGTTTACAACCTATAGCCTTTTAAGCTACTCTTACAACCGGTCGTGCGTGCTTCTACGAGCGGTTTGCGTGCAAAAAATTGACCAAGTAGTAAAATACACGCACGTGAAACGTACTTTTTTTGGTGGAAGTAAACACGACGCAAAGCACGCAGCCCGAAAACTGGCCGGCCAGTTTTTCGCTACGACCTGTCTGCGACAATTAGAACGCCTGGAGCACGCTCGTAGCACGCAAAACAAAAGTACTGAGTAAGTGCGCTAGGCGTGCGTGAAACGCATGAAAGGCATGCAGAAATTCCGGGGTATTTTACCACGAAGACGATCTAACCACGCAAGAGACTCGTACGTTCAACTTGCTTTCAATGTACGTGTTATCAAAAAGGGGGGTGAGCGCACTTCCTCCGTGCGTTTATCTTACTTCCAAAGTTCGTGGTGAGAATTACTACCGCACTTGTGAAGTGCGTCACACTAAGACGACGCACTTGACCAGCACGATAAAAGTGCGTCACAAGTACTTGCTTAGGTGCATCGTGCGCCTATATCAAAGCTGATCCGAACAGTCTGCTCGAAAACAGTGAATGATGAAGGGCCTCGGTGCTCCCTTTAATATTATTTTTATTATCCGTGTGTTCCACCAAACACTTCCGTGCTCTTTACGTTTCTCTTACGTTTCTCAAACTTCGTAAGTACGATTTCTGAAAACGTGCGCTTTACTGTACTTGCAATACACGTACAATTATCTCACTCACTGTGTGCGACACAAATACAGTACGTGCTCCTTACTTCTTCCTACTTCCAAAATAGGCGTACAGACCTCTTGCGGGCCCCACTTTTAGAACACGACACACCTAATCATAAAGTACTTACTACTTACGTCCGCTGCGATTTAATTTTCATCCTGCGACAACGCTACGCCTGACAAGAACTCCGAGGACGCACGATCGCTAAGCACGCACGACGGGTTGTAAGAGAGGCTTTAGTTGACGCCCAAATTAACCCTAGCAATGCACAAAAAGGCCAGAAAAATAGGTAAAAATCACTAAAATCGCTTTCTCACAGCACTACGTGAACATTCGTCTATAACAGTCCGTGGGCGGTCGATTTGGCGCTCTCTGTCCTAAAATGATCCCAAGGCTTATCATATTTATAAGATAAGATCTAGAGGGGCATTAGCTAGTTTTATAGCAAAGTTGTATAAAAATGATATTCGAATGAGTGATGAGAGAGCTTTTGAAGTGAAACCTATAACTGCCAGATAGTTCTGTCCACAGGAGAAAATATTTGATTATTTCCCCAGGCAAAGAATTTAAATATAAATTATATACCGTACTCCTATGAACCAAATAGGAGACAATCGATAATTTAAATAGTGCACGGTGAAATCATTTTCCCTTACTTTACAATTTCAAAAACAACCATAGCAATAAATTTCTCCTTATCTTTCTACATAAACATGTATCAGCATTACGAGTGGCAATAAATACACGGATACATGTTTAATTAGCCCTACATCTACTTAACAACACCAATATTTGAAAATAGTTTATCACGAAAAAGAGGTTATGTCTATATTATCAATGGCTACGTGCTGGGACCATTTTCTTTAGCGTAAATCCACCAGATTTTTGTTATCTTAAATGTCCTCAAGTTTATTTAAACAGTAAAGTATTCAGTGTAAAAGACTTGTTGGTAGCTTTTTTAGTGAATCATTTTAAAATAAGGCACAATTATTATTTTATTTTATTATTTTATTTATTTCATTATCATTACTATTGTTATTATTATTATTGTTATTATTATTTTGTTTTATTATTTATTTATTTTTATCATTATTATTATTATTTTTTTTTTTTTATTATTATTTTGAAAATCAGAAGAATGCCATTTAAAGCTTGATTGATACTACAGAAAGAAGCAGGTCGCCAAAAGCTTTATACATAACCGAACATTTCGAATACTGGAAGATACCAAGAAAACACATATGCGGGCCTACAGGTGCCCACAGAGGGGAAGGGGGAGACGAGGGGGGAGACGAGGCAGGGGACCCAATCCCCTCCGACTAAGATGCGGTGTGAGGATCAGTAATGGTCGATAAATATTCCTTTACCCTCAGCTCACAGAATGTTTGATGGGTTATTGCAGTTATTTTAAAGGGCGTCGTACACCTCCCATTTTAATCGCCATATATGTAGTCTAGTTCGTCAGTTTGTTAGACATTATATCAGCTATAGAATGGGGACTTTTCCTGAAATGGTTGTCCTATCTCCGTAATGTTATACACCACCAAATATTCTGTAATACATCCCTTCCCCTTCTAGCAGCTCTTTTTGCAGTCATGAACTTATCGATTTTTTAAAAACTTTTTTTGTGCAAATTCAAACTCAACAGCATGTATTTTTATGTCGGGAACCAAGTGACAAAAAATGAAACAGGTCGTCAAAAGCTGTATACATGCACGTAACTGTGCATTACGAATATTGGAAGATTGAAAGGACCTACCCGGTATGTATACAGGGTGGGGATTGGGAGACGAGACAGGGGCCCAACCCACTTCGACAATGTCTGGCATTATAGATGCAGATTATAGGGGATTTTGGCTCTTTTTAACAGAACAGATTCTCTGTCGAGGTGGAGAACTCAAACTTCTAATCATTTGAAATGTTGTCTTCGGGAACGATTTGGGGACAATTTTCTCATGTGGTGTACGATAAAATATTTTAACTCAATGTATAAATTAATGCTCAGTTAAATATCCTTTTACCTTCAGATCACGAAATAATCACCGGGTGTTTGCAGTTATACTAAAATGCGTCGTTCACCTCCCTTTTTCGTCGCCATACATGTAGACTAGTGTGTTTAAAAAATTATAATAATAGACCTCGTTTTCTTTCCTGATGCGGTCATCTTATCTTTATAACTTAATGTACCACCAAATATTTTGTAATACATATCACATCCCCCTGTTAGCAGCAAATGACAGCGTATATTGAGTAAACAAAGAACAACGCGCGCGTTAGTGGTCCATACGCGAATACCCTACTTGCTTAAACTTGGGCGTATATATGTTTCAATGTTTTATATCACCTGGGTGCAAGTAGGTTTGCTGCCGTTCGGGATAAAATAAAAATGCATGACAAGGTATTGTTTATATAAATGTATGGATCATTAACGTTGCTCATGGGGAGTGGGGGGGGTCAGAGAAAAGCGCGCCATTTGACTCTTCCATCGCGCTTAAGAAGTCTTTTTTTTACCCTTTTTGCAACTGCGTGTTTATTATTATTATTATTATTATTATTATTATTATTATTATTGCAGAAAAGGCCATAGAGTTTATAAAATTCATCTCGAGAGGTAACAGATAACCACGGGCATATTTGATGGCGCTGTTTTTATTAGCTCAATATTTCAACTACATACTACATCTGACCACATAATCTTTACAATACAGCGATATGGTAGTTTCTTTTCAGGACGTCTGACAACCTAGATCGTCTTGCCATCGCTGTGTAGGATAGTTTGACAAACGACACGCAATAGTACAGTTTTAAAAGACATGATAAATGGGATATACTTGTCAATTTCTGTTGACCACCGCTCACAAAAGAAATCCTTTTTTTATGTGCCGTTGTTAAAAAATGTTATGGTTATAATATGATAACAACCTTTGTGTTCTGAACTTGAAAAAGGACAGGGCGGCTATGTTTTCCTTCTTTGTAATTCCATGTACACCATCATTTTCATTTTTACATTTTTCATTGTTTCTGAAACAAGTATGGACCATATCAGTTGCATTTTATATTGGATAGCACTCAATGAAACGAACTGCTGAATTTATGGTTCATTTTTAGTATTTGGCATGGCGCAAGATGAACATGATTTATAAAATGGTAGCTCCTGTTTGTGTGGAGTTCTCCAGACACATTTTATCTTTGGATATCCATAGGACCCTTTGCCAAAACGTGCCCTGTTTTATACGGCCCTCTCTGTCCTCAAATATTTCCCTTTGCCTTCTAATCTTTCATAATATTATTTATTCTTATAAAAGAAACCATGTAGAGATAAATCCACAGTAACTTGTCATTTTTCATAAGGAACTCACAGATAAATAGACAGTCATTTGATTGCTCTGATTTTTATCACTCCCTCCTTTAATACAGATAAGAATAGCCCCTTGTTACTTCAGACTGAAGCTAACTGGGGAATCTCCTGCAGTACCTGTAGCCCCCTACAGGGCGGGTACAATGCCATCGCGCGAGTGCAGGTCAAAATGCTGCATGGTTTCTTAGGGTAAATGTAGGTCACATGAGGTGGGCCTTATAATCGAGCTGTTTTTGCTCAAATTCTCCCATCTTACATGGACCTGCTATTTTTATCTATCATCGCAAACTAAGTATGAATATTTCATTATATGCAAAATCAATTGAAAAAAAAATAATATTTATATATCAGAAATTGGTTGAAAATATACTTTAAGTGGCAATACACACTGTGTCCAATGTTTCTGTCGAGCCACAAGTGCAAGAGTGACATATGCACTGACGAAATTGTCAATATAGTGTAGATGTTGGCTTCGAAAAGTATTATGCATCCATTTAGCTTCAAAACGTCTTGAAAAAATAACAAAACCCAAAGTCTTACACGACCACTCACATCTGCAGTGTTGCAGCCCATTTTTATCAAAATGGCACCATTCGTAAACCCGAAATCAGCTGGGCATCATTTTTGTCAGTTATTTTTTCAGAATTGTTTTCTGTTATCTTTGGCTGACTTGCAATATGTAGAGGAAATATAATTATTTCGACTATAAACAATCAGACATATTCACTATTGAGACGAAGAATTATAAAAAACCCTTCAAATGAAATATCTTCCTCCTTTAAGCTGACCATGAGACAAATTTTCCAAACGAAATATTCAGTATAGCTTAACAAACACTACATTTAATTCATGCACCCCTTACCTTAGTACACGAGATGTTCACTGCATAGTTTTCCTCTAGTGCGTCACACCTTCCGTCTCCATCGTCCTTTAGTCCACATTGTTCAGCAAAATGTCAGACATTGATCTGGCAAAGTCTGAAAACAATTTACGAAAATTAGTCAATGTTTCAGAAAACTGGCACACAAAAAATGGCGTTTAAAGGCGAATGCTGACAAAAAATGTTGCCCTCTGTTCCCAAGAAGTATTTATCTACAACCATTGGAGCCCAAAAGTAAACATTTATGTTAGTTACATGTTTGCAACCTTGTTCAAACTGAAATACTAAAGATGACGGCCATACATACAGCTAAATGGCGTCGCATACCTCCCTTGTCATCGACATACATGCAGTCTAGTATTTTAGTCATGGTGTCAAATATAGACTGGGGATTTTTTCTGACGCGGCTGCCTTATCACATAAACATATTTTAAAACCCAATATATATTCTGTAATTCATCCTATCCCCCTCTAAACAGCAAATGGCAGCGTATCTTGAGTACACATAGGACGACGTGCGTGTCTACACGTTATACATAAGTCCCATTTACAATCCTAAAACATATCGTTCTTTTCTATAACCTACCGTACACTTAAAACCTATATGTTGTAATGACGATCTGTCTCTGTTACGTGATCTGTTATTCACGCATTACCCTGATATTGACAGCAATTTGTTCCATGTGAAGCAGGCGTCAGATGAAAAGATGAATTCCAAGAAAAGGTCTCACTTAAAGTATCCTATCCGAGATTTTCCAGCCAAATTGAATTTTTCTCAAAAATAAACGATGTTTTTTTCTACTGGCAATCTATCCCCTTAGTCGAGAACGCTGTTTTATACTGCTTTTGATATTTGAGTTCTAAATTCTGACCTAGATGTCTGCCTTTACATTTCAGAGGGAAAACGACAACATATACTTTAATATGAACTGTTTTATCACTTTTGAGGTCTGCAATGGATACTTAAGGTACATGTTACTTTGTGGGATCCCTATCCCCGACTGTACATGAATTGTTTTAGCAATTTTAAGGTCTGAATTGGGTTTGATACGTATACAACATCACTTAAGAAAGGAAAGCGCCCGCTATCCCCAGAAATCAGTGTCAGCAATGTTCGATGAAAATACTTTTGTAATAAAACATACTACCCCCAGATAGCTCCGTCCCATTTGATTATCTGTCGATGCGGAGACTCAAAATCTAACAAAAAAGTTTAGCTGTGGAACTCGTCAGAACCAAATCGTTGACAGTTTTCTCTCAGTTTATAAGTTAAAAAACAAACATAGGGATAAATATCCCCTTACCTTCAGTACACGTACATGTATCAGTTATTCTTATCCAGGTGCACAGACGCATGTTTTATCAGTTTTTGGGCCACTGAACAACACCAATGTTCAAAAACAGTCCATGACCCACTTTCACGGTAGTCATAACTATTAGTCATAACAACATCTATATTCTAATGCAGATCATAACCCACTATCACGGTAGTGAGGTCATGTTTATAAATAGGGCTACGTGCTGAGAACTTTCTCTTGAAAACAGTGTCACGTGATTCTTGGCAAAACAGACTTTAGAGAATTTTCGGTGTCTTAAATACTATAATATTTATTTAAAATAGGTAAGGGTGTGTTAGCAGCTTTTTTTTAGGATTCCCCATAGGGGAATACTATTGCTTTTCCTGTTATTAGGATTCCCCATAGGGGAATACGATTGTTTTTGGTATTCTTATTATTTTTCGTCAAAAAATTTCTTTCTAAAATTCTGAAAAAAATTCATACTGATAGCCTATGAAAAGTGATTCCGGTCCACCCAATTTTTTTGACCTTGACCTAATTTTCAAGGTCAAAGAGCCTTTTAAAGTGAAATTTTTGCAAATTTCAAAATGCAATATCTCCTAGAATTTTCAACATTTTGACAAATCCTTTCACAGGTGAAGTCACACAATAATTCTATATCAAGTGACGTAATTTTAGGAAAGTAGGTCAGGTCAAGGTCAACCTATTGCAAAATATGCACCAGGAGGTTGACACTCGGCAGGGGGTAAACCAGATGTCACAGAGCAACAAGGATGATGTAAAAAGTTGCCCTAGATATCTATCCAGTGCAGTATTTAATAATATTGACAATTGACTGAATAGTTTTTTTAATATACATTTTAAATATTAATAATTTCACAGAAATAGTGACTTTGTCAATTTCTCCATGAAATCCTGATTTTTTGTGATAACATGCTATAGTAAACTACCCCAAACATATACCCAACACCCCCAAATCAAATGTCAAATTTGACCTTGACCCTCATTTTCAAGGTCATTCGGCTATTTCATGGAGAAATATTGAAGTGGGCTAAAAGTGATGTTTTGTTGACCCCCCACCCCCAATTCGCACATGCCCTTTCAGAATATGGGGTCAAATTTAACCCATGACCTTCACACGACCTTGTAAGAGCATTTCCACACCTATTATCCTCCGCCACTGGCTTTAACCAGTTGCAGTCTAGTTATTCTTCTTCTTATTATTATTATTTTTCGTCAAAAAATTTCTTTCTAAAATTCTGAAAAAATTCATACTGATAGCCTATAAAAAGTTATTCCGGTCCACCCAATTTTTTGACCTTGACCTAGTTTTCAAGGTCACAGAGTGTCAACCTCCTGGAGCAGTCTAGTTAATTTTAAATCTTTTTTTTTTTAATTATCATCCAGTTATGCAGACAATGCATTTTTATGTCTGGAGCCAAACGACAGAGAATAAAGCAGGTACTCAAAAGCTGTATATATAAATTATTATTTTTGTTATTGTTATATGTAACCGAGTATTTCTACTATTTGAACCCAGTCGCACATTATAACTAACGCCTAACCCCCAGGAGGCTACGTGTGTTAAGCCTCTCTTCAAATCAAGTTCGGTCCCTTGGTGTGGGGGTAACAAGCCAACCATCACTGACTCTGTCCCGTTGTGAGGATCAGTAATAGTGGATAGAGAAGTGTTGTAGGGAAACCTAAAATACATGGTGAGTTCTTATTCTCTGTCAAGGTGGAGTATTAAAAAATCTGTCCATCTGAAATGCTGTCCACTTTACTTTGGCAAAGTCTAGGGGGCAACATTCTGATAAGGTGCACGATACAAATATTTCAATTCAATAAGTTGGCAGCTCTTTTTTAAAAAGTGGATTATCACATTTTGGAAACTTTTTATGGAAATTGAAAATCAAAACAATGGGTTTTATATCTCTAGGCAACTAGCAGGTGAAGAATTCGATTTTCTGTTCATCATTTTGGTAACAATTCGAGGACAATTTTCTCAGAAGACGTACCAATATGAACATGTCTCATCTCACTTAAGATGAATAAAATAAATATCCACTTACCTTCAATTAAAAACATCTTTCGTGCATATTGCAGTTATTTTAAGGTCGTCGAAAACCTTTCTTCATCATCGCCACTGATATAGTCTGGTTTGTTAGACAGGGTGTTTGATCACAGACTGTGGATTTTTCCTGACGCGGCCGTCTTATCTCGGTGACGTAATGCGCAGTGCTGGGTGTCGGTAATACAGTCTATCCCCCTCTTAGCAGGTAATGACAGCCGATCTAGGGCACACAGGACAACATGCGCGTCTGTTTATTCATGGGTTTCACTTATGATTTAAACAAGTTTCGATTTTTCTCTACCTGGTAATCTACCAATAAAATCTACAGTTTATTTTCTACGTACGGTCAACCTTTTTCTCTCATTCGTAAATAATCAGAATTTAGTCCTTGTGTACTGGTCCTCTTATGAAATGATAAATTCAAATTACCGTTTTATTGAAATATCGATCTCATCACAACGGTTATTAAGATTATCTATCCGCTTTATCAGACATATTGGGTTTTCCTCGAAATATAAGCAATGTTCTTCTACTCACGATTCATTGCTCGACACGTCTATGCATAAGGATAAGACTTTTTATACCGATTTTAATTCTTAAAGTCCCTGACTGCCATCACAAAATAAAATTGCAATGAACATAATCATTTGTCAGATAAATAAAACTAATGAAATGAAAAGCTCATAATGGGGAACACAATTTATAAAAAGCACACTTAGAATTAATAAACCATTTTAACCATATCGTTCCATAGGTCCTTGACTCAATTTCATTTCCATCTTTAAAGGGAATATCTCATCCGATAAAGAATATGCTGAATATACACCTGTAATTTCAAGTTTTTTTTTTTTTTTTTTTTTTTTTTTTTTTTTTTTTTGTTACTTTTAGTCATACAAATCAGCATGGCAGTGAAGTCAAAGACTTCAGCAGAAGAAATAAGCGTGCCGGAGCAGTCAATGTCAATGTTACGAGTTGAAATAAATAAACGGTCAGTCAACAAATGGTAGGCCTATGTATCGACGAATCATCCATTATTTTTAAATTATATCAGAATACCGGGGTGAAAGAACTGGTGCGTATATATATTATATAATTTAGAGTACCCTGAGCTTCGGAGATAACTTGTAATTAACCTCTAAACCTCTGCACAATATGTCACACCTTTGCCGTTTCAAGTTACTTCTTTCAATTTGGATGAATAAAACTAATGCAAAAATGCGCAAAGTAGACCACGTTCCGCAATGCCACCTTCCATACATGATGTACACCCTCAAAGCATTAAATTTAGGTATTTCGCTGGATATATTTTGCCGCTCAGCGTCGCTGTTGTTTTCATCGAACGCATCCAGGACACGTCAATCAACTCAGTTACAGCTAGCACTCTACAAAACACTAAATAATATTATTATTATTATTATTATTATTAGGGAGGGTAGCGAACATACTTATTAGTAGTGTAGATGGTATTAAATTCCAAGGTGTAAACGCACAGAGAATAAACAAACGGGAACGGAGTCCTCTGTGTACTCAAGATACGGTGTCATTATCTGCTAGAGGGGGATATAATATATCACAAAATAATAATTGTGACGCTGAATTTTTGTGATAAGACGTCTGCGTCAGAAAAAAAATCGCACTGTACAGCTGACATATTGATCAGCGAGAACGTCTACGTGATGGTCAAGGCGTGAGGTGTCAGACGTCCTGAAAGAAAACTCCAATTTCAAAGTAAAGGTTCCCTGTGCTGAAGGTAAAGAAATTTATACTCGTGTTCGTAAGCTTAAAAACTAATTAAATCTCACGTCAAATGGGCAAATTGCCCCCAGTCAGTTTTAATGAAGCAAGCATTTCAGTTGAACGGTAATTGTAGCTTTCCACCTTGATAATTAACAGATAATTACAGATAATTACATATAATATACAGATAATTAACAGATACAGATTCCCCAGCAAAGACTATTTTAACAGATTATTCTGATTCAATATCCCAGGCGAAAGAATTGGGCGGGGTCGCTTTAAAGTTAGAATACCGCCTCTAATATCGCCTGTGGGTGGGTCTGTAGGCATTTACCTACCACAAGACTAGCGGGTTACAATCTGTGACATACTCAGCCAACTTCATGTATACAACGAGATTAGTTTTTCAATCACTTACTCCACATTAACGGTTACTTACTTTCCTTTAATGGTGTCTCCTGGTCTCTAACAGGTGGGGATGATTGCATTATTATTGAAAGACCATTTAAAATTTCTCAATTCTCGAATATGTTTTTAAAGAGAATAATCAAAGTACAATGCCCTGGTTATAGTTCAGACGTTATCGAAATAGTACTCTGCCCAGTAGGACTGATAAAACATAGCGTGATAAAACAAATCTAAAGGAGCTTCTAACAGTTACACCTAACAATGATGCCTCATTTGTATTCTTTTATTTCTTTCTTAAAATGGTTCTCTGTCACTTGGCTGAAGTCAAATAAACATATGCATGCATTCTTTCCATTTTCCATTTGCCAAATTAATTAGTAGGGGTAATACCTTAATTTAAAAGTGGGCGTTAATGTTCTGTAACTTGTCCTTAGACCTCCTACTGCCTAAAACAATAAAAAACAAAGCCATTTAAGATGCCCGAAATCTCTTGTACTGTTCTTGTGGTGAATGATCAGATCACGTTATGAGTACTTGTTTGACCTCATTACCTTTACTTAGGGTCATGGACCGTGTTTAAATATTACTATAGTTTAGAAGGGTTGATTAAACACGACGCTATCAAAACACGCTCGTGCTTATCAAGTCTGCCCCCTTTACACTGGGAAGCGATCTTTATGCGTCCCTATGCATTCTGCGACCAACATTTACCGGTAGTCATGACGCTTAATGGTCGCCAAATCAAGAAAATCGTGTCTCAGTGTAAATGTTTCTGCGGCCCTTTGAATGACCAAATTTGACTTCACATGGAAAACTGCGAGCGCCATGCCCCTTGTGCATGCCTTGTGCAACCCATAGCGTCCATTGGAATGTTTGAGCACCCACTGAGTATCCTCGTAGAGCTCTCTGTACCTTCATCGGTGACAAATGGCTATCAATGGCGATCAACGTTTCTGTCTCTTGCGAGACCGACGGCCATTGTTTGGGCGTCTTTTGACGACTGGTGGGCGACCTAAAGTGCTGGGATATATTCTGACTCCTTTATATTTTCTCATCAGTTCCAACCCGGCCAGTCAATTAATAAAATCTCCCCAAAACAAATAATTACCAATATACATCTTTTACAAACTGCAATAATACGTGAAAAAGGTCTGCATGCACTAATAATAAGCCAGTCATTGTTGTACGTATTAGATTGGGTTCCCACAGATTAAGATCGATCCATCTGGATCGACCTAACTCCCTGGGGGTTCACGCTAAATTGCTGTTGTGGCGACGTTACTGACTTTGTCTTAGTGGCGCGAGGTAATAACTAAACAATTCCATATTTTCCCATATTCTTTATTCTCGCTTTCTAACTACATTATCTACAGCTTATTCCTCATCGTTCAACCTCTTACATCGTTCTCCCCGTCTACATTACGTTTTTCACTTAAGTACAATAAGGTCGTGTCAATCAACTAAAGTGACATTACAAAACACTCCCCGCTCTTATTCGCTGCATGCTGTCACTTACTAACGTAACATTATCTCCCGGGGACGATATGCCTGTCCCTAGGCATATTTAAAAATTAAAATATACATTTAAATAAACTTTAAACACTCCATTTTCCTTTTACCATAAATCCATGCAAATCGAAACTAAGTACATAGATATTTTATAAGAAACTTATGATAAAATAGAAATACGTTGGACATGAAACCCAAAATATAACTCAAAGGAAGATTGATTGACAACTCTTCAGAAAATATGGTTGTTCGTGGATGTGCATTTACATGTTGTCATGTGTAGCCCAAGATAACAGATACTTTTATTTGTTTTCTCTGCGCAGATGTTTAAATCTGTTACTCTCTTATTATGGCTCTGACACATTTTCATATACGATTTCTCTTTTCCAGTTGTTATTTCAGATAAAGTATGCACTACGTGAGACAATAGGGTTAGCTACTCCCTGTCCGATGAATAGCATTCACCACAGCGGTGCGACCAGCGCATCGTCTATGATGAAATACCTTTTCATCTTCATATTTATCCACACTGTAGCGCTCTCTTTTGATGGCTATAAGAGAAACAATCGTTTTATATCAAACCCAATCCACGATTGAACAAAAAACATACCGAAAAATAATTAAGTAAGAATCTTCCTTAATGCATATCATCAGTTTCACGTCTTCATCTTTATAAAAGTTAAGTACACTGTTCCTATACCAATAACCGTATAGTTAAATATCAATAACTAATAATTATAAGACCGACAAACTGAATATAGATATATTATTAATACTAAACATATTGAATATTCAACATACAATACTTAATGTGTCATTATAACCACATGCAATAATATATTAAAATTTAAAGTTCTTATCCACTCAAATGAAAAGTTTTACTTGGTATAGTCCGTTGTATCCTCCATTTTGAATTATAGCACGAAAGTCCAGTTCCATATAATATCAAAATGGTATTTCCAGACAGTGTATTACAATTGTCATCTGCCATTCAATGTGAAATGGATAAATGTCTTATTCGCGTACGTTGGTGGGCATACATGTAGATAAATGTTCACAGATTCCTGTGTATCCACGAATGTTCATGTCCATGGTTTACGAATATATCCAAAATGAATGGCGCAGAAATGCACGTCAAGAAAAACTTAACTATGTATATTATAACAATCGTCATCAAACTTGAATACAGTCACGTTTAAGAGGCAATATATTTAACTTGCCATAGTATTATTCATCCAAAAGATTATGATAACAATAAATCATATATGGAACCATGCTAATAATACGATAATATGTCCAACAATAATACCTATGCTAATAATAAAAATAATAATAACGCAATCTGGCGTCCCAGATGCTAATATTTATCTGGCGTCCCAGATTTTAGTATTTATATCGCTTATACTCTTCAGTCTCCCCTCCTTGCCAGGGGCGCAACCTAGGCTGAGTACCTTTCCCACTAGCTCACTTAAGCCTCCTTTACACTGGACGGCGTCCTTTCTGCGTCCAGCAGTACGACCCCATTTGAAAGTTAAAAAATTATAATACTTTACGTGCCGACAACTGGCCGGTCGATAAGGATTCATTCTGATACAAAATCAATGCCCGTGCCTCCTTATTAAGACCACAGCGATTCCAAATTTCATGGTCGCAGAAAGGACGCCGCCCAGTGTAAAGGGGGTATTACTAGCTCATTCGTTTTCAGTTTGCTAGGGCCTGACTGTACATTGAGCTGAGCGCGGCTGCTATTCTTAAGCCTTACTGCATGCCTTTTGCGACCCAACCGGCCGGTGACCCAGTCGATAGCGATCACTCGATCCCGTAGAGCTTACCAGGCTCCCAGGGAGTAACCGACGGTCTGATCCCGGTCCCACTGCCATGGGTTATCGGAACTTTGACCGTTTTCACCAGCCTTGCCTGTTCACCACCGTGTTGGAACCGCATCAACTACGCATGGCTAGGTGAGGACTGTCGTCCCCGTACCACTCAGTGAACTCGTTAACACTGAGCTGACTAGACGGTACCACAGTATCCTGTTAATTCAGGATTCGAGACACAGTGGGCCTTCAGTCTTCTCCCACAGCACTATAGCACGTCTTTAATGTGCCCCCAGAGCCTTGCGACTCCACTGCCGCCTGTTGATGACAGGGCTTCGGGGAGCCTATCCCCCTCGCCTATCATCGTGTAAACTAGACAAAACTTTGTACTTCAACTTGTCGGGAATAACAAGTCGCAAATAACCTTCTGAGTGGGGTGATTTTATTCCCTTGGGAACATAAATATGATGTAAAAAACCGTCTATCATCACGTAGTCACCGATTTCTAACAGCAAACGTCGAGCTTCTTTGTTACCAAGTGGTAGTTCATCTGATATCAAATACGCGATAATTGACGCAAGGTTCTTATCTTCGCGCTGGAGTTTTAGCAATTCTTCTTTTGAGACAAATGACTGATAATCTTGACATTTTGACAAACGATCTGTGTTCTTTGTCTTCCCTTTAATTGCTAAAAGCATTCCACACTTATCTGATCTGTTATCACTCTTTTTAGATTTCTCGTCAATTACCTGTCCTGATATGGGGTATGACATCTGTATTTTGTTCAAACACGCGTCACTTGGAATTGAACTCTGCGTTGTGTCATAAAGTTTGCCCAAGTCTAATTCTTCATCATCGTTTTCCATGTCATAAGGGCGGCGGCTAAGCGCGTCAGCATTCGCGTGGTTTTTTCCTTTTCTGTGTTCAATAGTAAAATTGTAAGGGGACAAAGTCAGTATCCATCGACACAATCTTCCACGCGGTTGTTTTTGTGACAATAACCATTTAAGGCTATCGTGGTCTGTGATGACTTTGAATTTGGAATGCCTAAGGTAGATATCGAAATATTTTATACCTTGTACAACTGCTAACCCTTCCAATTCCGTGATTGGATAATTTTTCTCGTGTCTTTTTAAACCTCTCCCGGCATAAGCGATGACTCTTTCTTTACCGTCTTGTATTTGTGATAGAACCATGCCTAACGCGTGTGAACTCGCGTCGGTGTAAAGAATAAAAGGGAGATTAAAATTGGGATACGCAAGAATTGGAGCAGATGTAAGCGCAGTCTTCAGGGTATCGAAACTTGTTTGGCATTCTTCAGACCATTTAAATTCTTTCCCCTTTTGTGTGAGAGCTGTCAAAGGTCTAACTATATCAGCATAGCCTTTTATAAACTTCCGATAGTAATTTGCCAATCCTAGAAATCCGCGTACTTGTTTAACATTTAAAGGGACTGGGAATTCCTGCACCGCCTTACACTTCATAGGGTCAACACGAACACCGTCTTTGGAGACTATGTACCCTAAATATTTGACTTCTTTTCGTGCAATAAAACATTTAGATGGCTTTAATGTTAAGTTCGCTTTTCTTAGCCTTTGGGAAACAGTTTCTACATCACGAAGGTGATCTTCAAAAGTGGGACTCGCAACTATGATGTCATCTAAATACAAGAAAAGTGTTTTCCATGATAAACCTCGAAACACATTTTCTACCATTCGTGAAAAAGTTGCGCCTGAACTTTTAAGACCCATAGGCATTCTGTTAAATTCAAAAAGACCGGCATGACAAACGAATGCACTCATCGGTTTACTTTTTTCTGATAACCCTACTTCCCAATATCCACTTTGAAGGTCAAACGTTGACATGAATTTCGGTTTAATTGACCCCAACGCGTCTATCGTATCGTCAATTCTCGGTAAAGGGTAAACATCATCTTTTGTAACCGCATTCAGCTTTCTGTTATCAATGCAAAAACGATATGAGCCATCTGGTTTTTGTACTAAAACGACCGGACTACTCCACGGAGAGACAGATGGTCTTATAATACCTTCTTGTATCATGTTCCCTACCTGTTCCTCTATAACCTTCCGATGTTTTGGTGACGTTCGATACATTTGCGAACGAATGGGCATTTGATTTGGGTCCACTCTGATATCATGTTCAATGACTGGGGTCATTTTCAAAGGCTCCCCAGGTTGTTTAAATACGTCCGCATATTTCGACAACAAATCAACAAATTTTGCTTTTTGTTCACTAGTGATATCTGAATCACTGAAATCTACATTAGGGACTTCGTTTTTTCTTTCATTCAACGTCTTATGAGCTTTAGTTCTTCCCGACTTTTCTGTATCGTTTGAAAATTCAGTAATTTTTGTATCTTGGGGCAAAATTGAAAAACATCCTAATTTTGTTCTTTTTCTGATGAGAAAAGGATACTTCGCAGTATTTATACATCGCACAGGGATCATATTTTGATTAGTAATACCTAAAACCCTCGCACATTCAAAAGGCAAATGCGATAAATTTTTGTTTTTGTAAACAACTCCTTCGACTCCATTGGGTAAATTCGCATCAACAGCACAGAGAAAAAGAACTTCAGACTCAGCAGGTATCAAAACATTTTTAATAGCCTTGACTGGATAACTTTTCTTTGAAAGTTTGATCGTGTGTTTAGTGAAATCTATAATCGCTCTGTTTTCTCTCAGAAAATCATTCCCAATTATCATATCGTACCCAATATTATCAGCTGTTTGCACTAACGTGTTAACAGAATTGTATCCACCGGGGAAGCACAAATCTACTGACACTTGCTCTTTCAATGTGATTCGTGTGTTATTTGCAGCCACAGCTGTCGTTTTTGTAGATGTTATGATACATAGTGATTTTAGAGTGTCAGTAATAGGTCGGTATTCACAATTGTAACATATGATCCTGTATCTATCAAAGCGCTAATTTTGATTCCATTGATGAGCAATTCTACAAAATTGTTTTTTCCTAATTTTATTTCCTTTTCACATGCCATGATCGAACGGGTGCCCCTAGAAATGCGTTGGCAAAATTCACCCCGCTCTTTCCCAATTTGTGATTTTTGCCGTTCTAGTTTAAATTTCTGTTGCCATTGTAAAAGTTTTGCCTTCTTTGTGTATTTTGCTGTCGGGAACTTGGAAATGATCTGCAAAATTTCTGTATGTGCCCAAATCTGTTGCATTTAAAACAACGCCCCCCCCCCCCTGTGGTCTGTTTTTGACGCCGACACGAAGCGTTCGTGTGCCCGTGCCTGCGACAATAAGAACAGTACGTTGTTCCTGCAAAGTGTTGTTTTCCTACTTGTTCGCGTTTGATATCCCGGCGAATGTCAGCAATTAGTTTTTCTTGCTGTTCCAACCTACGTTGTAGATTTTTCTCAGTTTCAGAGATAGACGTTACAATCTCTGGCTTATCCTTCTCAACTGGTATAGTTGCAATCGTTGAACCTAGCCTCGCATGATTCTCTGCTTCTTCTAAAGAGGAAGGGTTCTGCGCGATGACAAAACGTTTAATTTCGTTCCGTAAACCTCTCACGAAATACGCGAGTCTGTCATCCGCGCTTTTATTAAGCAGAGAAAAACGGTGTCGCATATCCGCGATATAAACCTCAATGGATTCATTCTCTGCTTGTTTTCTTTCTCCGAGTTCGTGTTCCCTAGTCCATTATGAAGTTTGTCTGCCGAAATTGTTTTGAAATTCATTTTTAAGGACATCATAACTCGATTTTCTCGCGTCAGGCAATTCGGATAACCATATTTCAGCAGGACCCTTCATGTATAGCATAAAGGCATTCAATTTCCGATCTGGGGACTATTTATTCAAATTGCAGTAATTTTCAAACCTCGTAAGCCATAACCGCGCGTTTTCTGTTGAAAAACCAAAGAATGTATCGATATTTGGACCAGAAGAAACTGAAGTTGGTTTTTCGTTCAATTCTGTAAGTTGCCTCTGAACTGCATGTAAAAGGAGGGTCGCCCTTACCCATAACATCTAATTTCATATGAATGTCTTCTAACTGGTCTCGAATATCTAAAAAATCAAAAGGTTCTTCCTTACCTTTCATTTCTTTTGTTTGTCCGGTAGCCATCTTCTTTTCGGATAGAATACGTTCGCGTCTGGATGTCTGTCTGGTGACTGGTCCTTCTCTATCTGACATTATTCATCTCGAAAGTCTCTTTTTCTTTTTGCATCCCCCACCATATGTGGCGACGTTACTGACTTTGTCTTAGTGGCGCGAGGTAATAACTAAACAATTCCATATTTTCCCATATTCTTTATTCTCGCTTTCTAACTACATTATCTACAGCTTATTCCTCATCGTTCAACCTCTTACATCGTTCTCCCCGTCTACATTACATTTTTCACTTAAGTACAATAAGGTCGTGTCAATCAACTAAAGTAACACTACAAAACACTCCCCGCTCTTATTCGCTGCATGCTGTCACTTACTAAAGTTACACTGTCAGCACAAAAGTTAATAACCCCCTTACAGCTTTTTGTAGGTGGGACAGACATTTGAGCCGGTTAAACTGACAGTAATCTAGTGAGACTCCCCAGGGGGATAGATCGATATAAATATCTGTGGGAATTGTCCCTTAGAGACACCGTCCGGTGTAAAGGGGGTTCTACATGTCGTATTTAAAAACTTGGATGTGAAGGCCTTATCTGGTAAAACGCTGGAGTTAATCTATTTTAGCAGTAATCTTGATTACCTTTGAGTTGTTTATCTTGAAATACATACGTATCATCCTGCATAATAACCATAACTATTACTCTTATAAGGTGAACGTTTATTTGTATTGCAACATAGTTCAAGTAGAAATTTCATCCAATACAAAATGATACAGTAGGCATTGTTCTAACCTTTGCATCTTAAATGACGGGTGTTCCCTAACTTCTTTTGAGAAGGATATATTATCTAAACGGATATCCTCTTTTACGTTCATGTTATTTTTCCAGGAGTGATTATTTAAACTTCACAAGAACATAAATCAGGAACACTCACAAAAAAACCATCATGGTCGATAGCGTAATAAACATATGGGGACTGGTGGCTATCATTGTATTTTACATCGTCATCTTCATCATCGGAATAGTTGCTGGAAGAAAAGCTAAGAGTTTTGGAAAAGACGCAAATTCGACAGAGCTGATTCTAGCTGGGAGAAACATAGGACCATTCGTTGGGATTTTTACGTTGACTGGTAAGGGAATTCTGGCAAGCAACCCCGATTCGGTTGTGACACGTTTTTGTCCCAGTGATTTTGAATGTTTCAACCTTGAACTGACGTGCTGATCTGACAAATAAGTTTTTTTTTTTTTTTGAGGCTTTATTTGTCTTTAAAAAGTGCAACATATAGAAGCATTTTGATTTGACGAATAAGCGCTTAGTTAATTTTTTTAAAATAATGAGTGGTTTTTCCAAGAGATTTTATAAGATCGGGGAAAATCTTAGTTTTCCTATTCATTTTAGTATATCTAAAAAAAATTTAAAAAATATTCTGTATTATTTAATATATCTTTAAAAAGATACTTTTCTGTACAGCAACTTGGGTGGGTGGAAGCTTCATCAATGGCACTGCAGAATACACCCTGCCATCTCTCTTGCCATCGGCGGGCTGGTGTTTGCTGGACCCATGCGATCCACAGGATACATGACAATGCTGGATCCATTCCAACAGAAATACGGTCCAGTCATGACGGCTCTGCTCTACATTCCTGCCCTGCTGGGGGACCTGTTCTGGGCGGCGGCCATATTGGCGGCTCTTGGTAAGACGGTTTTTTGAGGTTGATAAGAATGTTGGTCAAAATGTTTTACCCATTTCTTTTTTTGTGACATACTTACCTACCGTAGATAAAAGTAAAATACACTTAGTGATACCGACTGTGCCAATCTGTTGATGTGACAGAAATGGTAGTCGTAAGAATGGAAGTCCAGGGTCCCATGTATATCACAGCTAGTACAGGTTAGGGTTTGTCGGAGTACTGGGCTAGCACGTGAATTAGAAAATGGAACGAGTGTCACCTGTAGAAAGTAATAGGAAAGGACAGCAGTATTAGTGTACTAGTATCAATTCATCAGCGATTTCAAGCGATGAGGCTCCGTTAGGAGACTCTCTTACGTACAGGGTGATAGCCAAGTTTTATTGTCTATATCTACAGGTATCTCCGGTGCACTGGTACACAGTCGATACAGACTGTGCCGCTATAATATGCCGCTCTATGTGAAAGTGGATTATAAGTCAAACTTAAACATTACAAAGCAAACGGCAAATAAAAAGGCAATCTCAACACAATTTTGAGGAATGAATCCACATAGAATATTGACATGTATTTTATAGCCAAGTCCTTGATCAAGTTCTCAATGCACAGCTATTTTTTTCGGTTCTTCTCTGACCGTTGTGATCGGCTTGGAAAATACCATCTCTATCATCGTGTCAGCCATCATTGCAGTCGTTTATACAATAATCGGGGGACTATATTCTGTGGCGTATACAGACGTAGCACAGCTGATAATGATTCTGATTGGACTGGTTAGTATGCGTGCAGAGTTCCCAGATTTCGAAATGTGCAGATCTATTGTGTAATTTTCGCATATTTTATATAATCAAAAATACCTTTTTTGAGCTAGACACGTCTTTACGGAAATAGATCCCATCACTTGGCATTATAAATAACAATTCTGTGTTTTCAGTTCCTGGCTTTTCCATTTGCTATGCACCACCCTGCCGTTTCGCCTTTGGAAATGACGTCATCGAGCTGGCTAGGGTCTCTTACCAAGAACGATGCTGGGTTGTACTTAGATTCAGGACTACAATTAATATTTGGGGGAATACCTTGGCAGGTGAATGAAATAAAGGGCCTAGAATATTAACTTTCTTTGCCCTTCACCCTGTATGTGACTGTGCTTTACATCCCCTTTGTGTCTAATTTAACTGTAAAAATTACTCAGTGGAAATGAGACGATTAGAGAAGGTACTAAAAGAAAACAAGTGAGTAAAAGAACAGATATGTCACTTCTGAATAACCAACTAATGACAGACTCTATGAAAGAAAAAAAAGCCACTTAGTTGATTATCCAATCTTAAATCTCCTTTTATATATGAAATGACCACTTTCCGTTATCCAGGTGTACTTCCAAAGGGTGCTGTCTGCAAAGACAGTAAGTCAGGCAAAGTGGTTATCTGTTGTAGCTGGCTTTTTCTGTCTGGTGTGTGCTGTCCCTGCCGTAATGGTTGGAGCCATTGGAGCCTCAACAAGTAAGTCGACTATTGTAAAACTCATAAATGAGGCGAAGTCGTGTGGGCTACGTTATAAAGGAATCGGCAAAAAATACAAAATACATGTAACATTGGAATATTGTGCAAGTGCACGTGTTATTTTAAATACCCGCCTAAATGTTTGATGGTATGTACTAACTGACCCACAATTGAACAATAATCTCTGCAGAAACTCATAAATATTGTTTTATATGTGTGGATGAAATGTGGAGGAAATGTGCGATTACTGCATGTAATTGCTGATTTAACAAAATTTTGCATCATCTAACTGATTTCACATCTATATACCTGAGTACTTTAGAAATGTGTACTTTTTTTCAGATTGGACGGAAACTGCTTACAGCGATGTGTACAATCAGACTACAGTCCCTTCAGAAGAATACAAGAACATCTTGCCGCTTGTCTTGCAATACCTAACGCCCCCTGCCGTCTCCTTCATCGGCCTTGGCGCTGTCTCCGCCGCTGTGATGTCATCTACTGACTCCGCCATTTTGTCCATGAGTTCACTTTTTTCCCACAATGTGTACAGACCACTGCGGAAGTTCCTGTGCCGTGGAAAGAAGGTACGTGCTTTTTTATTTATTTACATTGCTTTAGCTGAGCTACTGCATTTTTAAACATCAAATATCGCTTTACGTTATATCTAGGATCCAAAATAAATAGGATGGGAAAGCGGTATATCGCCTTTGAACCATGATACCTTCAGGTTAACAATTCCCTATCGTCTCTTAAAGGTGTTTGATAGTCTAGAACCGATGATCCGCGAACTTACTAATCCGAGGAGTAAATAATAATAATAATAGTTTATTTGCTAGAATCGCAACCCAAAGGTTGACGTTTTACAATTTATCATAAATAAAATCATACGGGTATTTAAAAGTAACTAAAAATTGAAAAACTAAAAGACCGAAGCTTTAAAATATAGCCGGACTATGGTTTGTAGAGGAATGCCATTCCTGTCACATCAGGTTGCAGAAGGCGGTACTACAATACATACTGAATACTTCTGCATAAATTTGTTTTCAGATAGAACGCCAGTTGAATAACAATGAAGTGTAAAAGTACACGCCGATGTCCTCCATTTAGTATATTCGAACGGGCAAGAATTTGATTTTACTGCTAAAATTTTTTTTACACAAAAATACTCACGATGCTTCACTGAACTCTACCAGCGGTCTATGTCTGTTCTACAAAAGACACCTAAAAAACAGAAAAAAAAGAAAAAAACACGATGAAACACGCAGCTGCGTTTCGCTTTGCTACAGCAAATCTACCTTTCAAAGCGAGACACGCACTCCCAACATCATGAGATCCGCTAGTTTGAGCGTTACTCTCATCCTTTAAATTTTTGTTCCATTATACCAGAGGCCCTTCTAATTTTTCCACCAGATAAAATCCAGTTGAAGAACTATTTTCAATCGATTTTGTAACTGATAGAACAACTGAAAGGTCCTCCAATACATGTGGCGAGTGTGCATACCTGAGTTGAGACAAGACGCTTACTTAATAGTGTTCTTGTGTGTACTATCGAAATAGTGTTGTGATCCACATATACCTTATTCTTTTCAATTCACCAACACTTAGAGAGGCCATACAGGGTAATTATACAACAGTAAAAATTAAAGAAAATTAACTCCAGTTTTGGTCTTACTTGTTCCAGTTGAAGATAATCGCTATCGGGTTTGTTGATATTCATCTTGGAACGTTGTCGTGTCTATGAAGCAAAATAAAATACGTTTATTAACTCAATTCCAGGCTTCGGAGCGGGAGGTTGTTTGGTTCATGCGTGGAGCAGTGGTAGTGCTTGGGGCCGTTGCCACTGTAATGGCGATCTACATCACTTCAATATATGCCCTGTGGTTCTTGTGTTCTGACTTTGTGTACGTCATCCTTTTTCCCCAACTTGTATGTGTGATATTCCTCAAGCAGGCCAATATGTATGGAGCTTTAACTGGGTAAGCTTAGAACCGGATACCTCTTTATTAACTACTGCACCATATTTTACATTTATCAAAGGGGATCACAGGGTCACACACCAAGCATAAAGAAGAATGCCCATTCTCTTAAAAGAACTGGTACGTCAATCCCCCCCCCCCCCCCATGTCCTTGTACTACGTATATTTAATTAACAACGATAGAAAAAACAGGCATTTGATGATGGTATCTACGTTTTTCATAATTTATTTCTTATTTCAGGTATATTATCGGCTGGATCCTTCGTCTTGGTGGTGGGGAAGCGACATTTAGTCTCGCTGCGTTTATTCTTTACCCGTGGTACGACTTTGACAACAACACGCAAAGATTTCCCTTCAAAACGTTCAGCATGCTTGTCAGTTTAAGCTCTATCGTCGTAGTGTCGCTAATATTCCACGTGCTTTTTGCGCGAGAAATTTTGTCTAGTAAGTATGACGTATTTGGCTCCTGCATACCAAAACTGGAGGAAGAAGAGGAGGAAGTTGGAGAGAAAATGGACGAACTGAAAAAGACTGGGGTTTCTAATTTGGGTTACAATACCGAAGAACAAGAGAAAGAGGAAAACGATGCTAAATTATAATCGCAACATATATATATATATATATATATATATATATATATATATATATATATATATATATAATAAAAGAAAAAGAAGAACAGCAACTTTCTTGCCCCGACCGGTTTCTTTCTTTCTTCAGGGGGTTTTGTTTATTTGTTACTAGGTGATGT